CAGTGCCACCATACTCCCAGAGGAAATAGCATGAGGCAGATCATTAATAAATATCACAAAAAAACAAGGGGCCCAAGATGGACCCCTGGGGTACCCCTGAGGGGATAGTGCACCAGTCAGAACTTGATTATGATGGATTATTCAAGGAAGGACATTTTTGATTCTGTTGATGACCTTAGAACCAAGCCTGGAGTCAGGATTGACTAATGAAGTCAGCCTCCAATTTTCCAAATACATTTGATCTTTACCTGTTTTATCAGTAAATGTGATAATTACCTCTTTTTCTGAATTTTACATTTCTCCTGAGTCAAAAGAGCAATTAAAAGTGTTGGTCATGAGCTCACCTACAGCTGTACAGAGCTCCAAGAAGTTTAATTTGTAAAATTTTGTACATATACTGTCTTTCCATTTCCAAAAGTATCCAGTGTTTTGGCACATTCTTCAATAGTTAATCGTCCTTCACAACGTAGTTTTTCTTCCTCTGACAATTCTGGAATGCTAGCTTGACCAAGAAAGTGATTCTCCAACTAATCATGCTGCTCCTCACTGTTAATACTATCAATACAGATTTTTATTATAATTCAAAGATGAGCCTATTCTTTTTTTCATAGTTGATAGTTATAACTCTGTTTAGACAAAGTTCCCTAGTAGGTTTCTTTGTAATTGGTTTTTTTTCTCCAGACTTAAAAATACATTGTACTTTTCTCCCCATGTTCATGCCATCTCACCCTTAAACATACAATTAATCCATTGGCTTTCTCTTTGTAAAAGTTTTCTTACTCAGTTTTATATTTATTCAGAATATTTTCAAATTCTTTGCAATGATTTTACTGAGATTGTATTTGAGTGGCTTGGAGTTAATTCTTGTGTAGACTTTTCTCTTTATTTCTCTTAGTTCTAGTAAGCTCTTTTGAGTATTGCATCCAAAAAAGCAAACCTTATATTTAATCCAATCCCAGGCGACTCTTTTATCTAAGGATTCTTTTCCTTCTTCTTTTCATATCTCCAGATTCGTTTTTATAAATTGAATAAACTTTTCATCTGACAAAAATGATGTGTTCCTTTTTCAGAAACCTGGCCCTTTTTTTAGTCTCCTCAAACTCTTGCAAATGAAGTACAATTGCCCAGTGGTCCATTTTAATGACTCCAATAATGTCTACATTTTCAATCAAGTCCTGAAGTGTATCTGGAATGAGGCAATAATCTAAGCTGCAAAAACATATTATGATTAGAGCTGCCATAGCTTGTTTCAAATTTGAGAAAGACAAGGCCA